ATCAGCAAGGATGTAGTAAGGAAAATAAGGAAGAGTTCACCAATCTTAATATTTTATTTTGTAAATTGATTTCTTTAAAAATAAAGCTGTGCTTCCACCGCCTGGACACGGACCTATGCTTTGGCAGATGTGACGCGCGAACCGACTAATCTCTTTTTTTTTTGTGGGAATTTTATTTAATATTTATTGCTTTAATACAGTGGACGGATTAATCGTCCGACGCGGCGGAAGATAAATAAACAGAATCGTGTTGACCAGGAAAAGAAGCAGCCTTCAATTGAATAATGTTTAGTTCGCATCGTAAAGAGAATGAAAGGAACAGAGTTTGTTGTATCATATTTCTGTACAATACAAGTTTACTGGATCCCCACCGACAGTGATAGCGCACCAAACAATAAATTATAAAGATCTTTACGTATTCTCCTCCTGCACGATTCCTAATACAACAAAATCACAACCGTTCATTTTGCGGGGCCCATTAAAATCGGTTCGTAATACTAAATGAGGATCGCGCCTTTAAAACCTCAGCAGTGTGCCTTCTAATTCATCTGCCCTAATCTCTCTCTCTCTGTTCCGGGTTTTTCTCCTTGCACATCCCGGTTGATTAGTCGCCGGCGATTCTATGGCGATGTCTACAGTGCTCCTACAGCCTCCAACGGAGGTTGCATCATATTCGTCTCACGCACTTCCTCCTCCGAAGAAACCCTCGAAGAGAAAACTTGCCAAGCGTCGGCCTTCCCCTGTTCTGGCAGGGGATAAACCAATTGAACCGCAGAGTCTCAGCCACCAAAAGCGTCGGGCGTCGCCAATTGGAGCGACGAGGATTATCCGCAATAACGTGCAGAAATTGGTTTCCAGAGATCTAGTCATGGAGGACGTGAGGATTCTTAAGCGAGGGGAGGCGATGCAAACACTCTCACCTCCTGTATCCTCTAGAGACAGTCAAGAAAGTCTCATCCCGGGTTTGACTGATCGTCTGGGACCTGTTCGAAAGATTCTTCCGGAGCCATCCATGTCGGCCTACGCCGGCCCGGCCTTCATCTGGGCCCCTTCTCCAAGTTCTCTTCCGCTTCCTTCTTCCGATTCCTTTGTTTTTGAAGAAAGCTGTTTCTAAAGGTGAGGATCTTGCTGCTAGAGGCTTTCTGTGCCTCCTTAGGCTTGACGCTAGCCTCTGATGTAGAAGAGAAATCCATCGTTAGATTCGAAATAGGTATTTATGGTTCCACAATCCGTTGGCCTTCCTCTATTTTTTCAAAAGGAAGATGCGGAGTTTAAAGAATCAGTTACTCAATATCCATGCCTGTTGAAGGTTTCTTTACTTGACGTTGGTGTTGATGCTATCACCCGATTGATATCTTTTGTAATAAGTTTGGAATATGTTAGATTTTAGAAGGTTGAAATTGTTGTTTACTTGGATTCAAAGGTAGGTGCTACGTTTGGAAAATCTTGTTCATCTAGTCTAATATTATGTTAAGTTTTGGATTTGTCAGTCAATAAAATGATGTTAGGTGCTGTCTATTAAGATAAAGTTTCAATTGCTTGCCTGTAATATGTTCGTATGTCAGCAAGGGCTTGTTTGTAAACACTAAGAATCTCTGTGTTTGGATTCGCTACAACTATTAGTCTTCCTTTAGTCCCGTTCTGTTGGTCTTTACCCGTTTGCCTTGAAGAAAGCAGCTCTCAGACGGTTGGATGTTGCCATAAGAAGATCCTGGATGTTTAAGATTATTAAGATTCATCCATTGCTAGATCCATGTCGGCATCTGTCTATGGGATGGTGCCTGTTCGGAGTTCAATTTCTTGCTACAGGCGTCGAGGTTCTCTTCAGGTTGCTGGTTGCAGTTACTGGTTTGCTATAGGTGTCTAGCTTCTCGTCCGGTTGCTGGTTGCAGTCACTGGATTGGGCTTTTGATGAATTTTTCAAATAAGATGCGTTTATTCACTTGTTGTGATTGTTAGAGGTACTTCATGTTGTATTGATTGATTTTATGCAGCCTTTTTATATATTTCTTGCAGTCTCGTGGTATTCATGTGGATGTTTATATTTATCAGTGAATAAAAATGGTGTTGTGCTGTTCTTATCTTTCCATTTTGAAATTGTGGACATTGAGATTATTGAACCTGCACATATAGCCTTGTGGCCTTCAAAGTTTTGTTTAGTTGTTGAGATTGGGAAAGTCTTATGAATCCAGTTTTGTATGTATCTGGGTGCTAGCTCCTGAACTCTGAATTCCATGAAGTGACTGAAAATTACAGAACCAATTGAATGATCGACTTGGGGCCTATTCAACAACTTGGCTAGGTCATTTCAGAATAAATTTTAAGGAATTGTTAGAATTTACTTTGTGATATGATAAATCCCTATCATTGATCTTTTACAGTCATACCTTACATGATTGTGAAGCACAATGCTATTAAAAATCAATGATCTTTTACATTTATTTTTCAACAAAAAAATATTATAGATCTAATAAAAAAAATCAAGGTGAGAGTGCAAGCCATGCGAAACTCTATAATAAATTATGACAAAAATTGAATTTTGATGGAAGAATTGAGGTGGATACGCCACAATATTAAAGGAAATCAAGTAATCAACGCAGCCCAACAATTATAGCAAACAATTTAAGGCACATTAATTGAAATTTTTTACGGTTATATCTGTTTCTTTACGACTTCAGATATCAAAGAGGCACATTCATTGAGCTTTTATACTTTTAGATTTGTCTTTTTTATCACCCTCAAATTGCAATCTTTATGATTTTCCAAAAGATTTTTTGTATCTATTTATTTATTTTTTAGCTGTATTCCTATTTTGTAATGTTATGGGAGATGGAGATAATTAAAAACAAAAAAAAAAAAGTTCATTAAAGAGAGAGTTACGACAATAATGATTCTTAAATGCCATGACCTTTAAATATCTATCTATTTGTTAGTTGGTGTTGAAACGCTAGAGCTCAGAGAAATAGCGAGTGTCGTATCCTTTCCTGAAAATATTGGTGTATGTAAGACGTACGCAGTCCTGCGTACATAATAGAAGTTATATGGGCGTTATGTCGACGTTATATTAACGTTATATCTCTTATAACCTCCATATAACTTCCATGTAATCTACATGTAACCTACAGATATGTGAAAACATAAACGCGGAACTTACTTGTAAATTTAGGTAAGTTACAGATTTGATCTAATACTTACATCTACAAAATTTAAAAGTTTTTATATTGGTTTGCGTTAGACTTATATGTTTGACCCAATATTTATACCCACAATTTTGGATGCATTGGCATAGTCTATATTATCAAATGAATGACAGATTTGAAAAATTTAAATGAGTATCCATTTCAGTCAAATTCTATTTATGAAAATTTTCTTGGGCTATTTTCGACATAAAAAGTAATCCCTCTCTGTGTTTGACCTCTAAAATGATCATGAATGTACTTTCATCATCAGGTTTGATCGTAGTTCTACTAATGCTAATAATGACCCCACTTTCCAATTATTCAAACCTATACATGCTAGAATGTGTTGGATTTTATCAACCAAGAACCTTCGAGTTAAGAAATACAAGATTATTCTAAGCTTATAGTTATATTGTAAAGCTCACATGCATGTTATTTTCTTGCTTTTTTAAGGGAGGGATTAGTTGCTTTTTTTGTGTAATGTAAAATTGTCACTGAAGGAAGCCCTCCACACTTCAAAAAGCATCTAATTTAAAGTTACATAACTTCTAATTCTTGATTGGATAGCTTCTAAGTTGTGGTTGCATTATTGATATTAGACACAAATCTAACATTTTAAGGTATCTTCAAATATTTTTCTTTTTTTATTAAGAGTAAAATTCTAATGTTTATATTCATCTCTATCATGCTCAACTCGCTTTTAATATCAAGGTGAACAACTTTCCCACTAAAGTTCTTTTCTAATTACTATCATATCAAAGAAATGAACAAAAAATAAAAGAATTAGGCCATTTAAAAATCTTGTGATTTTATTTAAATGAATAAGCTGAGTCTAAATTGTGTTGATTATTATCATTTGATTCTTCGCGTCAGGATAAGTCCCTTTAATCATATAAAGATCACACAAATTTTCAGAGTTGCAAAGCAACATGCAAGATTTCTAATCAAAGTAAGATTGGATCAATTTTAAGACAATAAGTATCTGTCCGACTTGTTTGATAATAATCTCTCAATATATATACCAAAATATTTTATTAAACATCCATCAAAATTATCTTCAAATTGCTTAGTGAATATATCATGACATGAATTCAACTATCCAATTCCTATCTAAATTACTCTTATTATGTAAGATTCAGTCTATCCTTATTCTTTTAATAAATACAATATATCTAAACAAATTTTATTATTCCTCTTCATTCCCATTAATCTTTTGATTTTTTTTAATTCTAAAACTATATAGAGAAAATCATAACCAAACTTAAATTTAAGCGAGGATACCAAGAACATTCGTCTAATTTATTTCATTAAATTTATTCTTAAGAAATGCTCAACTCATAACTCTAAAAAAAGAAGAAAAAAAGATTAATTAGCACTCTAATGAGGATAAAAAGAAAATCAGATTGAAAGAGATTGTTTAATAACTTCATATGACATTCTATTGCACAAAACATCCTCACAAATAACATATTTATTCATCAAAACTTCTCCTCATCCAACACTCCAAAAACACAATAAGCCTTCTTAAAAATTTATCAAACTCTAAATTTCTTTAAATGATAGGTGTTTATGACCAATCATTCCAAGTTAAAAGCACAAAATATATTGGACTAAATACAAGTTTGGCAACCTACCATGTGGATGTGGCGCATTGGCGTGCCGTCTTTTGCTGACTTTACAAAAATTCAAATAATCCAGTCCAAAACGGATGGCCCAACTCTATATATTTCGGCCCAAAATCCTAACGGGCCGCAATCAAGCCTAATTTTTCTTTATTTACTTCAACTTATTAATCAGATTCCGCCCTCTCCTCCAGAAGCGGAGAAGCACCGAGAGAGATCCCTCGATATAAGACCTCAAGTCCGCAGACCAATCCCCTCGTCGATTGGATCGGAAGCTCGAAGCAGAGATCAATGGCGGGATCGGCGGCCACACCAGGGTGGTTCAAAGGCCAGGGAATGTGGGAAGGAAGCATCGCATCATTCGAAGGCGAAATTCGCCGGCGACCGTACCATCGGAACTGCAAGTGCGCCCTCCATCGCTCCCGCGCCGTCCCCGCCGACGCTCCGTGCTCTTCTCACTTCTTCGTTACGTACCCCATCCGACGCCGCTCCTCCTCCTGGCATTCACTCACGTCCTGCTCATCGTCCGGTAACCTTGCCGCCGCTGCCGCCGTGGATGTTAACCCCTCCGTCTCTTTAGCCCGAG